TCCATGGTAAAGTAATATTCTGTTTAACGGCATTCTTTTCTTGACAGGCTTTGAGAAAAACATCAGTACTGTATCCCCAAATTCCCTTTGCGCTGCACTGTTTCATAATACCTAATCTAAAATACAAACATGATGCTTAATGAGTACGTTTGTCACATGAGTAGCAGGAACAGATGAAGTCCAAAAGTTCCCTGTAATCTGCTGGGAGAGATAGCTCAAGTGCTGGAGTCAGCACAGCCAGAAAACCTTCGAAATATTTTTCTTCAACTCTAATTTGCAAAACTGCAATGGCAAAGTTTACTCTAAGGAGAAACTGTGCTAACCACAGATTTATTTATTTTCTGCTGATCAACACAGCTATGTGAACAACTGACAGCGACATCTTTTTCTGCAGGAAGATGCCAGAGCTACAGAGTTAAAGTGAAAGCTTCAAAGTTGACACTGACCATATTTATTAATGCAATAACGAGCTTCTTGTGGTTCATGCAGCTTTCCAGGATTGCGCTGGGCTAAACAAGTTTTTTATTGTCCCCTTTCAGGTGGCTGGCAAGGCATAGCACATGGCTGAAAATACATCACATGGTATCTCCTGGAAGATGACTGCACTGCTCGTAATCCTCGCTTTCATGGCAAGACAACAAAATCCCATGAGAAACCATTTATCTCTCAGAACAGACAGACTTTACTGTTTGAAAATGTCTGTTGTTTCCCTCGCAAGACTTGAGGGGGGAGAACTTAGACTAGCCTCTTTGGGAGTCAGGCAGTCAGATCAGCTTTCTCCCTTGGGCGCAGCTGCCAGAGACCATCATCCCTTATGCACTGGCTGCAGTCGCTTACGGGATATTTCACACCTGGGAACTAGGGAGCCTAGCTTCTGCTCAGCAGACAGGCTTGGAGGCCTGCCATGCCAACTTTACACATCTCTCTGGGATACTTATGTCCCTTCACAATGGTATTTTCTGATACTACAAAATTTCTAATTACACAATAACCCTTTAATATCAAACTGTACTTGATTCTGACTAGAAAATGATGAATTTCCTGCAAGTGCAAAACACACTGTAGGTTGAAAAATGACCCATTCAAATTGTGGGGAATTTTTATATCAGTGTAAATTTCCCTGTTTATATTATTTTTTATTTCTGAGGAATTTTTCACCTATTTTCACAAAACAGTATCTCTGTACTTTTTCTTTTTTGGTATTTTTCTTTCTTTGGAAACATCACTGGGTTTTTTACATACCACTTGCAAAAATGTTTACTGTTTTCCAAACAGTTCTTATTGGTGCATATCAGTCCTGAAAAATCACAAGTGCTTCAGATCCGTCAGGAATCATTATGTTAATCCTTCATAGAACTACAGAATAGCTGAAGTTGACTGGGACCTCTGCAGATTATCTAGGCCAATCCCCCTGCACAAGCGGGTTGCTCAGGACGGTGTACGGCTTTTGAAAAAAATTCTTATGTTTAAACAAAATGTCTTCTATTTCAGTTTATGTCTCTTGCCTCTTGTCCTGTCACTGGAAATCACTGAGGAAGAGTCTGGCTCCTACTCCTTTACTCCATGCCATCAGGTATTTATACACATTTGTAAACCCCCCAAGACCTCTTTTCTCTGCATTGAACAGTCCTACTTCTCTCAGACTGTCCTCATGTAAAAGATGTTACCAGTCACTTTGATCACCTCCGTATCCCTTTGCTGGACTCTCTCCAGTCTGCCCGTATCTTTCTTGTACAGAGAAGCCCAACATTGGACACAGTATTCCAGGTGTGGCCTCACCAGCGCTGAGCAGAGCGAAAGGATAGCCTCCTCTGACTTGCTGGCCATGTTCTAACACAGCCCATGATACTGCTGCCTGCCTCTGCCACAAGGGCACGCTGGAGGTTCAACATGCGTCTGCCTTTTCTGCCAGTCTACTTTCACACTGGTTGGGGCCCCAGTCTATGCTGGTGGATGGGCTGCTCCTCCCCAGGTGCAAGACTTTGAACTCCCTGTTGTTGAACTGCATAAAATTCCTCTTTGCCCAATTCTCAGGCCAACTGATGTCCCTCCCGGTGGAAGCACATCACCCACCCCTCCCAATTTTCTATAATCTGCTGCAAAACTAAGGGCATGCACTCTCCTGTCATCCAGGTCATTAACAAACATGCTAAACAGCACTGGCCTCAGATCCAGTGCATTTGAACACAATTCCATGTAGGAATAGTGCATTGAAGTTAAGAAGCAAATTTTTATGTGTGTATTTGGCAGCCATCTCACCAATGAGCCTGTCATGCTGTTATCCATGTTTCTGTCACCATGAGCATGAACTACTGCAAAAGCATAGCCAGCTGCTTTGAAGCTCTGCAGCAATACCAGGTGGCACAGTGATTGAAGCTATTGCCTTCCCATCTGAGAGAAATAGCCATGTTACACTGGTGCCTGCAGATAGAAGCCAACCCTCTGGCTTTAACTGAAAAACTCTTAGATGGTTTGGGACTTGTTTACATAAGAGGCCACTGCTTTCCCACTCATTCACCGATTCGCGAGCTACAGCAGTTACACATGTTGGCCATCCAGCAGAAAGGAGTATCTTGTAGGCACTGTAGGCAAGTTTCTGTGAAAAAGCTTCAACAGCCAAATTTGCTGCAGTGTGGGCCCTGTGTGGATTTGGGTTGCTTCTGGCAGAACTATCTATTTAAGAAACAATTTGGGGCAGAGATGGATTCAGTATCTTATCTGAGAAGTCCCAGGCGATGTTTTTTTTTACATGATTACATGATGTAGTAAAAGAGGTAAGTTTGATTTCTTGCATAAACTATGGCTATTAATAACTGAATTATAAATATTATTGTAATGAACTCTTTAGTACCTAACAGAGTGTTACAAACTCTGAAATAAATACTACAAGTCTCAATAAACAACATATTTGTGGCCTGAAATTGCCATTTCTTCTCCCACGTAGGAGACCTCAGGGCAACAGACTTCAAAGTTTTGGGTTTTTCATTCACTCCACAGAAAAGCAAACAACCTTTAGAATAAGTAAGAATCAGACCCTGAATCCCACTGGATTTGGCCTCATTTGATGGAATTTCCACCTCTCATCCATTCTTCTGCTTTATTCTTCTCAAATTCTCCTTCAAGATCCTATGTGCTGGTACACTTTCAGACCTCTTCCACATCTAATCTCTCTTCATTTTGCAAACTAGCAGTTCACCATATTTTTCTTATAAATTAAAGCATGCTCCAAGATACACAAAGGCTAATCTCACAATCTCAAAATTGTATCTGTAACTCTCACCTATTTCTGTACCTAATTCTATATTCAACAACTTTTTGTTGTTGTATTTGATTCTGCTCAAAGCTTTCACAGCCTGTTTTTTTTGGCTGTGAGGAACCATGTTCATATATAGCATTCAAGGTGAAAGAAACTACAGAGCCACAGCTAAAGTGGGGCTGGAAAGGGCCTCCCAGAACAAACACAGAGCTGTCAAAAGAGTTTCTTTCTGAAGAATACTCTGTTTCTCAATCATGCCTGGCTGGTAGCTCAAACTAGGGTTAGGATTAGCACTAGTATCAAGAGAACAAGGAAGACTAATATGCAGCTGGGATAGGGCTAGAAAAGGGCTGAGAAAAGAGAAGAAGGATTGCCAAAAGTTCTCCTGGTAACGTTGAGGATATAGCCTCAGCCACCTCGTGAGCATTTTAGCCTAGCCTAGGCTTAGGGCTGGTGGAAAGGGAGTTGAGCTGCCAAAGGATACAAAGGGCTGTAAAAGAATATTCCTCTGAGGAATGGGTAGTCCAGGGTGCTGCTGCTGTAGAGTTTACAGTTAAGCTTGGAAAAAAAATCACCATTTGGAGTGAGGCTGGAGAGAATCTGCCAGTAAAGAGTTAAGTTTAGCCAAGGGGGGGAAGCTTAGCCCCTCTAAGGGTTGAAGGAAGCTGCAAGGTTCAGCAAAGGGCAAGACTGTAACGTAAGGGCTGGAAAAAAACATTTCTGTAATGGATGTATGCAGTACTGTATTTTGCGCTTATCTGGCATGTGGGCACCTATCTTAAGTTATGCAATATATCCACATGGAAGAAACATGTAACTCCAAGGATAAGTTAAAATAGGGGAGATTTATCCCCAAATTTCAGCAGTAGCTTAAGGTGGGCCAGAATGCTGAAGGTCTGCAGCCTGTGTTTCCCTGCCTTGGCCCTGCTTGGGGGCCACTGTCCCTGCGGCACACCTGGGTGCACTCGCTGCCAAACCTCTCCTCCCTGCCATTTTACAGCCTGCATCAGCACACCGAGCAGCTGACAAAATGGAGGAGGGGAAAGCGCATAGCACAAGATGGATTGTTATAGTCCTCGGAAGTAAAGTTAACTTTGGAGGAGGCCTCGCTCGGGTATTTCCACACAGCTCATGCCACCTGCTGGCAAGCAGGAGCCGCGGCCAGGCAGCCGCAGCCCAGAGGCACGCAGGCCTTGCGGCACAGGCCTGCCGAGCCCCCCTGCCCCGGCCTGCTACGCAGCCAAGCCCGAGCCCTCGGGGCCATCTGGGCACCGCTCTCTTTACATTCGTTAGTATCTCCGAGGAGCTGGGACCTCCAGACCACCTGTCATCTGCAGAGGCCAGGCCAGGACAGCCTGCTGCACCCCGCCCCGCGGGAGGGGGAGTGCCGCACTGCGCCTACCCTAGCCTCGCCTCGCCTCCCCTCCCCTCTCTTCGCTGCCGGAGCGAACCCGCCGGCCAACGACCGACGGAGCCCCGCTCAAAATGGGGTCTCCACCGTGAAACGGCTGCCAGACAGAGTTGTTCGCCCTTTGCCTCCCGGAACGCTTGACTGACGGTCTGCGGCAGCCGCGGTTGCGTCAGGCACACACAGCCTGCGGGGCTTCCAGAAACTTCCCTGCCCTCTGCAAAGATGGCTTCTGCACTAGGCCCGCCGGCCGCACGCGTCACTTCACCCGGCCGCCCTCAGCCAATGGTGCTTGCCTCCTCCGGAGTCACGTGGGGTGAGTGAGCCAGTCGCCGGGAGAGCTTGGCGCAGTCTGGCGTCACTTCCGTTCTCCGGGAGGCGTTGTTGCGGAGCTGCGTGTTGGGTGTCGGCGAAGTGTCGGTCGGGGTGAGAGGGTGAGGAGCGGTCACGTAGGTGTGCAGGGGCGGCGGCGGGGGGGCAGCGGCATGGGGCTCCTTGGGGTGCAGGAGCGGAGCTGCCAGCGGCGGGAACAGGGCCCTGCCGAGAGCCACTGAGGGCCCGCGGCCTGCCCCGGCCTGGGCCTAGGCCTAGGCCTAGGCGTGAGGCTGGACGCGTCCCTGTCCCTTTAGTGGAGTCACGCCGCATTTGCTAGGCGGGAGTGGGTTTCCTTATACTTTGGTGCAGCAGTAGTTTTGCTGGTTTTCCTTTCTGTTGTGTTTGCTAGTTAATATGCTGGAATGTGGGTGGTGTTATGTTTTCCTTTTAATTCTGGTGTCGTTCGTCCTTGTCCTTAATTTAATGCTTGAAGTTGTCTTGCATCAGTTACCAGTTTCAAAAAACTATCATAATCACGGAGTTGTCACTGTAAATTCCTGCAAACGGTGTAATCCCAGTGGAAGAGTGGGTTTAGTGGCATAAACTGGATGAGTCTCTGAAACTAATTTCACTTAAAAAAGGAGGATTTCGTAACTGAGTTTAGAAGTGAAGTAATATTTTCTAGCAGCAGGGTAATTTCACCACTTTATCTTGTTTGTCGTTAATGCTAGCTCTCCACTGCTGTGGATGCTTGTTTCTCATGCAGCTTTAAAGTTGCCTTCCTTTAGAATACTCTTTATATTTAGTACTGTACATGCAAGCTACAAACAGTTGTGTGAAGGAAAACATATTGGTTGTTGGGGCATCTTGTGAGAGGTGTATAGTCATAATTAAAGTATTTGTACCTACAACAGCTTGGGGACTTTGTGTAATATATGCACTATTTGTGGAAGTAAGCTAGCAGTTTTAATACTGCTGCAGTCTGGAGTCCACTTGCCCAAGAGTGATGTCACCGTTTTCTGGTCAAAACTGCACAAGTTGCCCTGGATTTGTGTTCTGGGCTGTGACCTTGGCTCAGTACTGTTTCTGTAAAGCTAATTAGCTCTTCAAAGGATAGCTTAATACCTGTCTAAAACTTGTTCTATCTTATCTATTGTGCTGTTTGCTTATTTGGGTTTATACTTTGCGGAAATTCAGATAGATTCAGATTACTTTTATGAATAGTTTTTGGAGGACAGAGCACTCATGAAGTGTTATGTCTCAAAGTTAGTTGGTAAAGTAACTCATAACTACATGAAGTTTTTTGATGTAATTTATATGCATGACAAATGGTATGTTCTCCTGTTTTCAGGCCAGTTGTGAGAGAAGTCTCTGGAAATGGAAGACAAATAGAGATAGAATTGAACTGTGTATTTAAGAAGGTTCTAGCTTTTATTACATAACTCTAGTCATAATACCATTTCTGTTACAGTCTATAGAGTAGTTGAGAGCAAGTAGTAAGTGTACCTTGTTTTCTGAAAACCATGTAACTAAATAGTAAAGCATGTTTTTCTCATGCCTTTGCAGGAACACAGTGTATTAAATTACCTAAGCAACCATGCTGGCTGCAAGGCTAGTATGCCTGAGGGCATTATCATGCCAGACTATCCGCCCCACCATTACTCAGACTTCCCCAGCTTTGAGGAACTCCAGTATAAAAGCATACAGGCTCTGGCAGCCTAACCAGGTAAGGCAGTTCTCTTTCTGATGATTCTGACTGCTGATATCTTAAAGGGTTGAGTGTTTTGCCAAAAGAATTGCTTTACATGGAGTACCTGTTTTGAATGATCATGAGCCTTGTGTTTCTTTGAGGTACACACTCTGATTTACAGAATAACGTTACTCAGTCAAAAACCAGGGTTTTAAGAACAATTGAACTAGTAACTTCTATTTCAATTAAGATTTGCCCATGGAAATTGTAAAAGAAGAATTTAAATGAGGTAATTTAACAACGGACAAGTCTTGTTATGTAAGACCCTTGAGCAAGATCAGCAGAAAGTCTTTGTCTGACTTCTTGTCATAGCTCCCTGCTTCCAAGTAAGACTCTTGAACATAATATTAAATATATATATACCTTAAGTATAATATTAAAGTAGAAGCTTTCTTTTCAAGGACTTTAGTGTGTTTCAAGCTATAGTCCAGGTTACAGCAACTTCTGAATTACGGCAGGACTATCATTGGCCTAACCAACAATTTTGAAAACTGGACTGTCATCATCCTAAGACACTGTTTGTTCCTCATTTAGGGAAGATATTTCAGACATGCTTTATGCTCAGGTGACAACTATTGAAATGCTAGATTTTTATAGATGCAAAACACAACAAAACTGAAATGCTGTAGTAAACTTCCTGATTTTTATTGTTCTAATGGCTTTTAGATTTCAGGTTTTAGTGTTAAAACAAACTCACAGTTTTGAGTGAGCTCAGGTGTGTGTATAGTAATTTAGAAATTCCTGGGACAGTGGTAAGGAAACGTCAAATGTTGTTCCTGAACTGAAATATGAGTTTATTGTTTGTTGCTCTTGCAGATTACTAAGACTTTGAGCAGCATGTTTTGTTTATTTGAAGCTTGTCAGCCTTAAAAATCGTTTATAAGCCTTCATTCAGCGTGTGTTCTCTAAATCAAGGCTAGAGTTCAAAGCAGAATTTGTGATGGCTTTCCAAATTTAGTGTCTGTAAAGTGTAAGTATTGTGCAAGAAGAGTGTTTATGTAGAGTGTTCTCGCACAGAAAGTAACGTAATTTTTTAATGTAAATAGTATGTTTTTATATTTAAAAAAAAAAAAATTCCTTGTGATGTTGTGGGATCAAAGTAAAAGAAATGCAGACTGGAAATCAGCTTCTGAAATTCTCTGCATTGGTGCTGTACTACTAGAATGTGTGAATGTTACTCACAACAGTTCCTAAACTTTAATGTGCAGTTGTTTTCCTTGAGCAAAATTACTTCATGTGTTTGGGAGGTAAGTAGGAATAATTAAGAGACTATTTTAAATGCAGCATGTAAATTGATAAGAAGTGTCTTCTATCTTGTTTAATTTAGTCTTTTTTTTATGTTATTTCTGAATCTAACAGTGTTATGCCACGAGAGTAAGAACAGGTGTAAGGCGTGGAAAAATTGGCCAGGAAATTAAAGAAGCAGCATTTGAGCCATCTGCGGAAACTGCACTTAAAGGTAAGGTAGCTGTGCTTTAAATACTGAGAATCTTAGAAGCTTAATTTAAAATTTCCTTGAAGGAATCAAGTTTCCTTCGAATGGTTAAGGAAACTGAGAATATTGTTTCATGTGTAAGTTTGCTTAGGAATCTCTGTCAAACAGCTGGAGACAGTTTCTCTGCTTGTCTTTCTTTGTAGAGTTTAGAACTACAAATGTGTCACAATATAGAGAAATTCCATGTTTCCTCTTTAAGCTGCTGTTGAGAACTGTTCAGTCAAAATGGTTGCCTCTTAATGGAGATTTGGTTGTGGGTATTAAAAAGTATGCACGCTTGCTTTGTTATATCTACTTTGTACAATGTTTAAAGGAAGGCTTTCTGTACAGCATGTAGAGTTTGTAAAAAAGTTTCTGGTGTTACGTGGGCATTGTCTTACAGTGCTTGTTAGTACAGCTAGTGTGTAAGGGATTTTTTTAGGTAGCAGTATCTGACAGAACAGGCTTGTAAATATCCTATAATAGCACTGAGTTGACAAACTATATCTAGATTGGCTAGTGTCTTGATTATAACACATTAGGAAAATGCCTAGACTTGGGGTTACACAACTGAAAGTCTTCAGTCTCAGCAGCTCTTCTACTATAACAGTATTTTATGATTGGTATTTGTGTTAGTAGCAGTAATCTGATACCTAGCACTCAGGCAGTATGCCTAAAAGTCAGACAGCAGAAACTGATGGTAAATCATGTGGTGTTGTTCATGAGCTTTGGAAATCCTTTTATAAACTTATCTGGATCCAATGGCTGCCAAAGAGCCCTGGATGGAGCAAGTATTTAAGGGCAGATGAATGAGAGGAACGAATGCAACATGTAGTTTTTCTCCTGTTTTATAGTGAGTTGGATAGTGAAATGGTATACTAAATCAGCTGACAGGTGAACTCTTCTGCTGGAGAGCCTGTTAACTGGTTTTATGTTGGAATTGCTGTCACTAATGAAGGTCAGTAAACCTGGCATGTTGCTAGTTGGTCTCTTATTTCTTACACTATTTTATGAAGTTACATTGTGTTGATAGGATGAATCTAGTTTTTCAGGCATAGCTCATTGAGACCTGGTAACTTAAGTGGAACTTTAAGAAGGAAGTCTAACATGGATCAACTATTGCCAATACAACAAAACTCGTGAGGATGTTACTATTCGAGAAAAAGCATTCATAACAGTGTGGATATTTTTTCTTCTTCATACAGCTGATCGCCTGGGGAAATTTATTATTGCTGGAGGGGCTGCTGTTGGCCTGGGGGCCCTTGCTTACTATGGAATGGGCATGTCCAGTGAGATTGGAGCTATTGAAAAAGCTGCGTAAGTAAGATGGCTTTCTCTTTTAAGTGAATCTCCCGCCTCATTGTATGTCTCTTCTTTTGCTGATAACACCCAGCGTACACATAGCTTACGGGTTTTTTTAAGCTCTGAACAGAAAACCCTCACTGCTTTCTGTACAGGATTTTAAAGAATGTAACTGAAAGCAAAATTTAAATTATCCAGGTTTAAGCGGATATTGACTTAAGCGACTTGTTTTGCAAAATTTGAAATTTATTTGTGCAGAGTATATAAATGTGCCTTATGAGGTGTGCCCCTGGTAATTTATGAAGTGTAGTCTTTTGTAAAACTTGTTACGACCACTTTGCCTGGTGTTCCTGTGAGACTGTTCATTAAACTTCAATACCGCATGTTGGAAAGAGAGTCTCCTTGGAACACGCTACTTGGCATAACCTATGCTCTGATAAATAGGTTTTACTTAAAACTTTGGCATCTGAGAAACTTTTCATTGATAAATATGTCTGTGTTTGTTTTTTTTCTCCAAAAGCTTTGAAGTAATGAGTCAAAAAAGTGAAATGGGAGAAAGTGCGTGCATTATGTTTAAGTTTGGTGTTAGCAGGGAAAGCTTCCTGTCCATAATGTGACCAAATCATACTGCAAGAACTCATTCATAATGTCTAAGTCTGTTGCTATTGTTAGAGCTCTCAAAATGACATTCATGCCTGTGATGTCAAATAATCATGTGGACTGTGACTCAGCAATCTGTGAGCTGCTTAGCAAGCTGCTTAGCGCTCAGTTCGCGTTCTGTAGACATTTTCCTTAAACCAGTTTGTTATACATACACCATTCTCTGTTTTTCCATAGTTAAAAGTATTTGTTATTCTGTTTCCTCTGTATGCTTTCTTCTTAGAATTGAACTGCAATTATCATTATTTGCAAGTTGCACTGTTTCTAGAGAGTTCTGTTACATTAGACCAGCAAGATTTAAAAGTTCAACTCCTGTTACAAGATGAACTCACGGCAGAAGTTGTTAGATCACACCACTTTTATGAAACCTTATTTGTATCAATAGCTATGAATATATTTAACAGCTTGATTATGTTTTCAGTTAGTTTTTATTCTGATATTGGTAATCATACAGCTGTGCATGACTTAGAAGTTATATGCTTATTTTTCAGTATTTGGCCACAGTATGTGAAAGACAGAATTCAAACTACTTACATGTACTTTGCGGGAAGCATCGGCTTGACAGCACTGTCTGCTGTAGCAGTAAGCAGATCTCCAGCTCTCATGAGTCTTATGACAAAAGGCTCCTGGCTGGTAAGCTTATGTTATAAAAATAAAAACATTTACTGGGAAATGACCCTAAATGTGATGGTTGATGCAAAAGAATACTAAATGTGGATTACTTGGTGAAAAGTATGTCAAAACTTCACTTACATTGATCTCCTTATCCATTAAGATTATATAAGTATGCTAATGATATTCTGTGGTTTAAGATTTGGTGATTCTAACTACATGCTGGTGTGCACCTTCTATACTACTTTGTAGTTTGTCAGAGACAAATTATGTAAGAAAAAAGTCCATGCTGTGCTGTCCTTACCACCTATATGCAAGAAGAATCTGTTGTAAATAGTCATCTGAGGCTAATGAAGCTGTTTCTGTCACTTTCTAAAATGGAAACTGATGTCCCTGTGCATTCCTGTTCCTCCCTGTGCTTTTTTGTATAGCTCTGTGAGATCTCTCTCCTGTTTGCCAAGACTGAAATGATGCTAGTAGGCAAATCATTGAAGTGTGCTGCTAACAAAATGTGACTGCTTAGTACATACTCGGTGTGTTGAGTGCAGTGATAATAGTTAAATGCCAACATTTACATAATTTATGGAGATTAATTTAATAATGCATCCTTGTTGATAAATCAAAACTGTACATTTTTGACCTGTGTGCTAGCTGCTGGATAATTCTACTTGGAACCAGAGGAGGCATTGGGGTTTAAAAATCATTGGTGGCAAAAGTGTGTGAACTGAGTACTAGCTTTGTGTAGAGAAATGTACAAGACAAAACTAAGGCTAACATTTCAGGTACTCTAATGAGGATTAGAGTAAGGGGCAGAACTGTATGTTTTCTTGCTCTTACATTACACAATTAAGAGATTGTTGCCGTTTTACCACTAAACTTGGGCTCCTAGAAGCCTAAATAAAATGGGAACTTACTGCAAACTAGGATGAGGAAACTTTTTACTGTGACCTTACAAGAGAAAAATTGACAAACACCCCAGTTATGAATTAGGTTGCTCTTTTCAGATTTACGCTACTGACTTCAGGAAGTGAGAACAGAGACTATGTCCTAATGATAACTTGAGCTCTGTAATGCTTTTTTTACAGGCAATAGGCGCAACTTTTGCAGCTATGATTGGTGCTGGAATGTTGGTCAGGTCCATATCCTATGAAAATAGTCCAGCTGCTAAACATTTGGCTTGGATGATGCATTCAGGTATATGATTTTAATTTTCATTGTAGAGATGTCTGTGCTTCAGTGTGACCAGATTCTTAATTTAAGGAAACTTTGACTTTAAGGCAGATTTCTCTATACTGCTGTGGGAGAGTTAGGGTTTTTTTCAGAGACTTGAATGTCAGGAAGATTCCTTAAGTGCCCATATTTTTTCATAATCTTCTAAAAGTCATGCTCAAGTTAAAATTGAGATATGTGTATGCCACATTGGATAGAATTAGTTGATCTCATAGCTGCTTTGGGTTTGTGATTGCTTTCTGGGACCATAGCTTCTATAAGCACTATACTTCCTGTTCTCCAGCTCTGCAGGGTAAGAAAGTATTTGAAAACTTGGACTAGAAAAACAATTTTTTTTTAGTATTAAACTGCTTAAATACATGTGCCCATCAGGTATGCAAGATGTGACTACAGATCATTTTCTCACTAATGATGACTACTTCAAATAACAGTGGCTATTACTTTTCAAAACTGTTTTTCCAGAAATAATTCATGGTTCATGAAAAACACATGTATGTTAAGCACTGGAGTTGTATTTTCCTCTCTAGAGCTAACATTTTGACAAAGTTGTGTTTATTTTGGTGATTGCTAAGTTAAAACCTAATGTGATATTAGTAGACTAGATAAGAGGTTTCATACATGATTCTAGCAAAAAGTCTGACTCAATTACTTAACTATTGCATAAGTAATTATTGTAGCAGAAATCCCTTCTGCTTTTCATTGTTGAGTGTTCCCCTGCCTGTTACATGTTTGATCAGTCCATGCCAGGTATCTCTTACCAGCTCTGTTCTGAACATAGTAGTATGTTACTGTTGTTAGTCTTTCTTCCAAAGATTAGCTCCCTGAAGTGCTCCTCAGAGCTAGACAAAAGTAAGGCATGGAATTTAAGGTTGCTAGTTTATTGTGATCCCTTGTAGATAGGTGCATGATCAAGTGTGTTTGTATTTTGTCATGTAAATGGATTAGTTTGAGCCATGTTACCTGGCTGTAAAACAAAATTCTTTGGCACGTGGTGTTTTTACCAGATCTGTTCCAAATATAATGGGTGGTGTTTTGTTTTCCTTTGCTAGGTGTCATGGGTGCGGTGGTGGCTCCTCTAGCCTTCTTGGGTGGTCCCTTGCTCATCAGAGCTGCCTGGTACACTGCTGGAATTGTTGGAGGGCTCTCCACTGTCGCCATGTGTGCTCCAAGTGAAAAATTCCTGAACATGGGAGGACCCCTGGGAATAGGCCTAGGCTTTGTTCTTGCCTCTTCAATTGGTAAAATACTGTTTTAATACTATCAGATAAAGTAGGTTATAAAATTAAACTGCTAGGATGCAGCTCCTGTTTAATTGCAGACTGATCTGTCCGATTAAGTTTTGCTGTGAATAGCCCTTGCAGGCCTACCTAGCACAGCAGAAAATACTCTGTTAAATGTGTTCTTGAAAGTAAATGTGAAGTTACAGTTCTGGCACGTTAATCTGAAAAATGGCCAGTAGTGGTGGCTTGTATTTTTAGTTACTGCCAGTTGGGTAGGGAAGACAGTAAATGTGACCTTAGTTCTTGGTCTGTTTGTTCTTCTCCCTTCTGTGTTTCTAGGCATAGTTGTAGTCCTAGGGTCAGAAGCACTTTCACGTGAAATACCTGTAATTCCCTAGGGTGTTCAGAATTACTAGATCAGGGTGTATTTATGTGACATCTTCAGCTTGTGTATTAAAGCTCTTGCTATTAAAAAAGCACCACAGATTGAGAATTGAATACTCACTGAAAAAAGTGTGCTACAGTAACCACCATTTGACCCAGCTCAGAGTAGCAGATACGTATAGTAGCAGTCTTTAATACTGTTGTACATTGTGCATTCCTTTCCAGGGTCCATGTTCTTGCCTCCCACTTCTGCTTTTGGTGCCGGCTTGTATTCGGTAGCTGTTTATGGTGGATTAGTACTCTTTGGCATGTTCCTGCTCTATGATACGCAGCATGTTATTAAGCGTGCAGAAACTATTCCATATTATGGAGTAACAAAATACGACCCAATCAATGCGTAAGTATTATGTGTTAATGCAGCTGATCTCAATGACTGTGTAAGCATTTGCTTCAGGCTATATCAAACTACGCTTTTAAAGTATGCTAGACCTTTTATTTACTGTTCAGAAGTGTATTGCTATTAAATGTAAAGGATCACAGGGTTTAAAGATGTGGTGTGAAAATAGCTAGTGCAGTTAAAATTGAAAGCATCTGCCTGAAATGAGAGAAATGGGTGAATGTGGTGTCACATGCCTTCAGCAGTACTTCCAAAAAGCAGTTTTGTTTTCTAAAGCATTGCTGGGAGAATTTACAGCTGTTTTCTACAAATAGCTGTCAGTATCATCTGAGACAAAAAATGTTAACTCTTTCATAGTCATTTAATATTCGTTAGCCTTTGTCACTAAATAAGAATCTTCAACAGTGTGACAGATAGGGAAAGATGGATTAACTGATTCTCAGTACATATAACTTCCCTGTAAATGTTGTCTGTCTTATCTTGAGTTGTTTATCTCCTTGATTCTGGTTTTCTATAATTAAAATAGAATAATACTGACCTTCTTCAAAATTCTTGGAGCTAAACAGATCAAAGTACAGCATAAAAGCAGAGAGCTCCTGTACGAGAACAGCATACTACCTGTTAAGGCAGAGATAGTAGAACAAAAATACAGGGTTTTTTTGACATACCAAGCACTGGAGACAGTCATAGTTGGGTTTTGTTAGAGATGCTTCGTGAAGGCTTTTAAAAATTAAGTGTAATGGGGCGAAATACAAATAATACTATTTGTATCTGCTCAACAGTAATTCACTTTGATTTCCTGTTTTCTAGGTGTATGGGTATCTACACAGATACACTGAACATCTTCATTCGGGTGGCCACCATGCTTGCAGGTGGTGGAGGTAGCAGGAGGAAGTAAACCGAGACTGTGTGTCTGACAGGCTACCTTAATGCACATACTAAATAAAAATTTATGGTTACAAGAAGTTTTGCTGCAAGTCAGGAATATAAAGCATTTCACCATATTGTTTCAGTGCAGTGTGATTCAAGCTTACTAGTTTTTCTTCAAACACTTTCCAGCTCATTGTTAAAATAGTGTGAACTGCTTCTAATTGTACATTATTTTGAGAAAGTAAATTATTTTTAATATATGAGTAAAATTGTCTGCTTTTTAATGGGTTTGACAGCAATTCAGCTTTTTTTTCTTTTTTCCTTTTTTTTTTTCTTTTTACCTGTTACTGCATATTAAAGGCCATCACTTCTAAACAGTATCTCTTACACAAGTAGGGACACAAGCTACTTTATGAAATGCTGTTGAGATAATGGCATTTTTTTGAGTGAAGATTGCATAAATGATATTTCAGTGACACCTTATGAACAAATTATGGCACTAAATGCAGTAATGACTTCTGCCTGGGCAGATATTTCAGCAAGGTTTAAACAGCTGTCAGAAACGCATTGGATTTGACCAGTGAGGTGACCAAAAAGTGTAAATGAGGCAAGATGGGGAAACCATGCGGCATTTGTCCCATGGGAACTTCAGTCTCTTTCTGGAGTGCAAACGAGAACTCAGTGCTTTAATGTTGAGTGGGTATAATAGCTATGTTTTTTTGATACTAGATTTACCAAATTACTGAATAGCAGTAGGCATGTATCTGTCTTCCAGTGACTAAATCTCAGTATTGTGGATGAAGCTCTGTCTCTTACTGCTTATCTTTGACAAGCTTGTACAGTAGGCACAGAAAGAGGGAATTGAGAATAGACTGCTATAAGCCCAAGTATTGTAAATTTACTGTACTGTTGTGTGCTTCAGCCTGTAACTTTACCCCCAGTTGGTATGTTTAGCTTGGTTTAAAAGGAATGTTCCCTATCAGTGAAATTGATTTAATATTAAGAAACAAATACTTACCAAACTCAGTTCTTTTATGTTGGAATAAAAGGTGAGTCCTGGGGCACAAGAAAGTTTAGAGGTAATGTCAACAACTCTGAATTTCTGGTAGATATGCTGTGCTTATGTATTGACTATGAACAATAAAATTCTAGTCTCGCAAGCTGACAACTCTCACTGTCCCTGTGTTAATAGAAATTTTAGTGCCTCTGCACTAATAACTTGAAGAGTATTACAGATACTTTTTTTTGCTACAGTTTCATTTATAAGAGAGTATGTATTCCTCTGTTCAAGAAATAACAAAAATTATATCCAGTTTCACTGGTTAGAATCTTTTTGGGGATGTTTCCCAGATGGAAGATGCTGATCTACACTTGGTTCAAGTGGTTCTGTTCGTGCAACCTGTTGGCTACTGACTACAGCAGCCCTGCTTTCATGTCTGTCATATACCATAGTATTTTTAGACTTGTCAAGCATAGGAAGGAAGCTGGATTGTGAAGAACCTTGTTGCAAATCCTTTGTGCCCAAAGATGATATGGCACAACCCAGTTCCTGGCACTGTTAACAGCTGAAGAAGAATGCGTAGTACTTGAAGAAATCTCTGATCATGCAAAGTGTAAGTAGCCTATTTAGAGGGATTTATCTTTTTAAGCAGTTTTATATGCTTGATCAATTTATTCATACTGTTGCTGTAGGTGAAGAGAGCAGTGTGCTTGTCCTCAAATTCTGAAATGTACAGAATGCTGTCTTACAATGAAATCATAAAATTTGTACCTGTAATAAAAAAGCTGTCAAAACACCTTTTGGCTAGACTGTGGACAAGGTTTTAGAGGTTGACTGAGCCAAGAGAGGGATTCTGGACTGTTTGAAACAGTAAGGTGGAAAACACAGCACCCTACCTAGGGAAAATTTCTGCAATGATAGTGAGATCACCAGGAAGATCCAGTAACCTTTTAAGAAAAAAAGAAACAGGCCAAATAGTGCTTGAGGAAGCATGAGCACTCTTCTGTGCTCAGTCTTCAGAGGAGATGGAGCTTGACTCATGGGTGAGATGATACCTGTAGGAAACACTCAGTGCCTCCCAGTGGAGGTGTCCAAAAGGAAAAACAAGATCAAGAGTTGTTCCTTTACATTTGAAGTCCGAAGTGAAAAATAAATCTTTATCTCAATTAAGACAGCTTTGCTTTGGGGGCAGATACAAATCTAAATTGTGATAGTTTGATAGGCACAAAACCAGGTGCCTGCTATTTCAGGGAAAGCATCTGTCTGGCAGTTGGTGCTGGCTTACTGGCAGGCTGCTTTTGGAACGGAAACTGAAAACCTGGAAACTTTCTAGAACTAAAAAGTTGTTTAGATTTATCAGTTGAACGTACCAGGGTGATGTTACTGGAGGCAATCTATTTTGGATTGGGTTTGTTCAGTTTTTTTACCCTCAATTGAAAGGTCTAATTGTAATACTTGTATCAGGGTTCGTTAAGTGTATCTTGCTCAGCATCTTTCAGAGCAAATACAGCTGAGGAAGAACTTTTTTTGTCTCCTCATAAACACTGAATACTTTCAGAAGGAAATTAGATGCTTTATATCCTTAAGTTTCAGATCTGTAAAAGCTGATCAGCACTGGGGTTAGACCATCTAATTAATGCCCTGTTTCATGTGCTGTAAACTAAGAAGGGAAAATAGTTGTTATAAGAAGGGTATAAACTTGGAAATGAAAAACCAGCTGAGGAATAAAGCATTTTTAATTATTTTTTTGTCTTGAATAATGAATATTACCAGAAGAAGGAAAAGCCTTTAACAAACAAGGTCAAAGAATATCAAAAATAATAAAACAGATGCATGTCAAGGTTGTGGTTGGACACAGGAGGTTCAATGGAAACAGTGATGCTAACGTGTGACTAGAGTCTGTCAGCTGGAACTTTGAGGCATTTGCATGATGGTCTTCCTTAAGGCACTGATTTTATGAAAGGAGCAGCAACTGCTGTATTGCGTCTTTCAGTTGAAAAAAAGGCTGTAGCTGTTGCTGGGGCGAGTTGGGGGCTGGAAGGGAAATTGAGTGCAGAAGTACATATTTCTGAATAATCCTGGGAAATAAGGGATGTATCCTTAGATTCATGTTACTGATACGTCAAAAATGACATAGGATGTGTCTGAAAATCTTGGGGGGGGGGGGGAACCTAGTTTGAGTTCTTATAAAATTAAGGCATGCTCCAGAGTGTCTCATTGCACTGGCCAAAAAAAAGTTAAATAAACTCTTAAAATTGCATCTTCATAGAGTCATTGCTCGTGGGGGTGATATCCCAATATATTATTCATTAATATTTTATTAAAAGCTCATGCCATTCTAAGAAGAATTGATATTTTGTGTGAAAGAATTTGTTCTAACCAGGCTGAAGCAACTGTTTCATAACATAAGGAAATATAAGGAAAATGCATTTTTATGGGATAAACAGAAAATAAAAACATAAGGAAAATAAAACTTTGAGTAAATGGTCTTGTTTAATTTAGGGATAAATGAAACTAACATTTGAGCCATGAGAATGTAGGGAGCATTAAGCACGTTCAGGATACAAAGTTAATTTAATTCAATCTGGACTAATGGTCAACCAGCCTAGTTCTCTGGGAGTATGTGCTGGCCTCCCGTTATCAAAGGGAAAGTATATGTAGCATAGAAACTGCAGACTGTAGTTGTATTCACTCCTAGAGACAGTAATGAGCATGCGGGATAGAGTAACTATCAACGACGACAATGAAGAGCAAGACCTAGCAGGTTATATGAAGTTGATAATCACTTAGGAGACTGTCCTCAAGCAGCGTTTAAAACATCTTTGATAGTTTTTTCAGCAGGTGCCCTGCAAATGAAGCCCCTGCACAGCTGCCAGCCAGCATGCCTGTGAGTTCTGTGTGTGGTGGTTGTGGTCTCTAAGCTCTGTGTTGACTTGCCTCTTCACAGGTCATTCTTCTGGATAGCCTTGCTCTGTTAAGGTGGAGCTTGTAGCTGTTTTTGTTTTACTTGGTTTTAACCTCCCTCCTGCAGGCACCGTGGTGAAAATGGAATAATAGATACATCCCATTTCCCCCTGCTTTGTTAGGTGATTTCTGTTCTCTCCAGCCTTGGAAGACTAGAGATATGACGAGGGCTGTTTTACGTGGTAGCTGTAGGCTTCTGAAGAGAGAGCATACCGAAACCAGGCAAAGCTTCAGTCCAGAAGTGTTGACACTGGATGCAGTGCGAAGTGCTCTGTGGGGGGAAACGTTTTCTTCTTGTGGCAGTCCAGTCCTCTAGTTCAAGCAAGATGCGATTAAGGAAACTGTTCTTGACAGCTAATCTGCCAGAGCTCACACCTTCATGACAGGGTGATGAGGGGAACTGTGTAACCTTGTTATGGAAGCAGAGCTATTCCCTCTGCATGTCACTTCTTCCCCCCAAAGGAGATTAAAACACAGATGCCTGAACAGGGAGGATTATCTTTCCTGCTGTTTACCCTGGCTCTAAAAGACTTGTCCTTTCAGCTGCTGCTTGAGAAAGCACTTTTTCTTTGCTTTTCCTTCTTTCAGAAAGGTGATAGAAGAATACATGACATTATGGGTCTTTTGTACAAAATAACTACTCTGGCTGTCCAATGCTTAGTTCCAGAAAACTTACTATGAGGAAATGAAGTTGTGCAATGATAAATGTCTGGGAAGGCATCTTGCTTCTTTTTCCTGAGTAGATAAGGCATTTAATGAAGCTGGCAAGCCTCCAAAGCAGAAAATACTGTGCAGCTGTCAGCCTTTGGGGCTTTCTGGAAAGGTTTTGTAATTGATCTGCATATTGATCTCTTTCTTAAAAACAGATAAATCCTGTCGCTACTGATCTGACAGGAGGTGCCAGCAGGGATAGCAGAGGGAGGTTGTCCTTCTGGGTGGATATAAATGCCTTTTTTGGCCACTGTGGCCTCTTCCTTATTCTTCTGTACATTGTAGATATGCTGATCATTGCACACAAGCGAAGTTCATAATATGAAGTCCAGAATGTGAACTAACACATCTACATTTCTATAGCAGTATGTTTCAACGTTTTCCTGCCAGCTCCAACAGAGGTGCATTTGTCTGAAGAGAATATTCTATCATTTGATTTAGTGTCAGCTACCTGTGTAAGCTTGCATGAGCTAAAATCCCATGATCCAGTTCACTGGGCACCATTTCAATGCAGCGAACACAGTCTGTCCCCCAAAGCATTTATGATCACCGCAGTTGTATTTATGTGACTAGGAAGGAGTGGAAGAAAAAAACTGTACTTCATCAACGGTGGTTTTAATTGTAGCTAGAAACTGATGGGACAGGAGAACTCTAATGAAGCTTTTATTAAGAGCCCGAGTTTTGTCTGAATTTGTCTCAAGAGACATAAATGAAAAGAGAGTGAGATTTTTACATTTCAGTTCAGATTGTATTCTCATTTCCTTGGGGACAAATGTAATTTGCAAAAGTCTGTAATTTTGTTTCCTTACATTGTCTTTGGCGGGGGGAGGAATCTTATCAGTTACTCTTGCTCTTACGTGTTCTTCAGAAGTCCTGAAAGGATGTATTGCTTTCAGAAATTTGTGTCGTCATTTATTTATTTATTTATTTATATGTATATTTATTTATATATTTTTAAAGATGGCAATGGATAAGGATGTATTGTACTGCTTCAGAGGAAAAAGTGAGCTTCATCTCTCGATGGACCATCTCTGCCGTTGAGATTAAGGTGAATTGATAGTGATGGTAACATCTGTAACATCCTGCGTCCAGTCTGGGTGGTCATGCTATTCCTCTAAATGAAACTGTGGCAATTAAAAAACAGATTTCCAGTAATTCTTTTTGGCGTTAGGACCACTATGAAGAAGTGGAATACGAGATTCAGAGCAGCCCTGTGGAGCAGGACCTGGGGGCGTTCGTTGATGAGAAAATGAACATGGGCCAGCAGTGTGTGCTTGCAGCCCATAAAGCCAACCGTATCCTGGGCTGCATCAAAAGGAGCGTGACCAGCAGGTCGAAGGAGGTGATCCTGCCCCTCTACTCTGCTCTTGTGAGACCTCGCCTGGAGTATTGTGTGCAGTTCTGGTGTCCTCAGCATAAAAAGGACATGGAACTGTTGGAACAAGTCCAGAGAAGGGCCACGAGGATGATCAGGGGACTGGAGCA